CCGTATTTAAACAAATCTCAAAAAGTATAATTGTAATTCATCCTTTCATCATTCATGATAAAAACACCTTGGCTCAATTTATGTAATAAAGAAAAAATAGAGAGAGAGAGAGAGAGACGATGCGGTTTAAAGAAGAAAAATGCATTGCGCAATTTAATAAAGAAAAACGGTGTCATTTTTCAATCACAGCAGTTGTTGCTGTACTTACCCCGTTCCTGATTGTGAGAGCTTCCAAGGTTGTGCACTCAATATATATATATATATATATATAAACACCGCTACGGAGCTCGAAAAATCAATGGCTCGAATGGCTCAAAATCTCAAAACGACGTTGTTTTAGGACTTTTTTTATTCTCTTACCGGTAAGATAATATTTTCCGTATCATTCGAGCCATTCGAGCCTCAATTTTTCGGGCTACGGAGCATTTCTGTTTTCAAAAACACTTTTTAGAAAATTTTGCTTTCTTATTTTTCCTCTTTTTTTTACTGAATTTTTTTTAATATTTTAGGTAATTTTTTAAATTTTCAGACACACCTAACATAAATACACATAAAAAGTATAATTTTTGTGAAAAAATCTTTTAAAAATTCACTAAATATGAATATTTTTAAATATTTTAATTTCAAAATATTACGATTTTAATTTTTTAAATTTTAAAATATTTTATAAAAATAAATCCAAACTCTATTTTATAAAAATATTTTTAAATATTTTAATTTTTTTGTTATGTATTTGGTTACGATTTAAGTGTAAAGTTGTGAAAGTAATATGAAGTTTCGAGTTATGTATTTAGTTATGAGTTTTAAAAATAATTTCTTAATTGAGTTTTGTTTTATTTGTTTGGTTACGATTTGAGTGTAGAGTTGTTTTTAAATTTAAAATATTAACATTTTAAATTATTTAAAATTTTTTGAATATTTAAATTATTTAAATTTTTACGATTTAATTTTTTGAATATTTATTTTAATTTTTTACTTATTAAAATTTTCAGATTATTTAAATTATTTAAATATTTATGATTTAAGTTTTTTGAATATTTATTTTGAAAAAAAAAATTATTTCCTTTGTAATATTTTCAATTATAAAATTGATTAATGTTATTTTCTGTTAATAATAAATTTTTTTAATTGAATTTTAAAAAGAGTTTGGTTATGAGTGTTGATTAGAATTTTCAATAGTGTAAAAGTAATGTGTTTTGTTATGATTTATAACAATTTGAATTAAGTTTTGAAAACTCTTTTCAAAACTCATAACCAAATAAATTTTCTTACTTTACATGTCAAATCAAACTTTCAAAACTCAATTTCACACTCAATTCAAAACTCAATTTAACACTTTATTTAAAAATCATAACCAAATAAATTTTCTACACTCAAATCATAATTTTACAACTCACAAACTCAAAATATAACTTATATTCTCAAATCATATTTATAAAATTTTACCCAACGCAACCTAAATTTTTATATGAATTTGAAGGGAAAGGCTTTTTTTCCAACCTATTATGAAGGAGCCCTCCTACTCTCTGGATAATGTGACATCCTATGATTGGTCGCTACACAATCCAAAGTGGACTAAAATTCTTATTCAATTCTACACTAATGTTATGGTCAAGTTTGGCATGATTGAAAAATGACAAAAAATTAAAAAGTCATTATTCTATTTAAGTCACATCATTTTATTTAAGTTACATCACCTCTCTAACACATCACTTCAAACTCAACCCAAATTCAACCCATATTTTATAAAAAGTCAAAAAGTACACTTATTTAGTCTTTTAATATTTGCACTCAGTGGTAACTGATAATCAAGCAATACATATGAAAAATCGAGTGTTATAATTGGAAATTTTTTAAAATCGTTAACCTAAAAGAAAATGCGGACAGTCACAAAAAAAAAAAATAATAATAATAATAATAATAAAAAATAAAAAATCCTAGGATATGAGACTTGTGACAAAATAAATTTTTAATTTTATCAATTTAAACTTCAATTTTTTGATTTGTTTTCAATCTAAACTATTCTCCTATTTTTGTTAAGTAAGATTGATAGAAAAATAATATTTTAATTATTAAACTCAATGTAAATATACATAAAATGTCTAAAATAGTATTTTTCATTGAGTTAAATAGCTAAAATATCATTTTTTAAAAAAAAAAAAATCCAAAAGAAAAAGAAAAAAGAATTCACCTTGTTTGGTTGAATCATCTTTTTTGAAAATTAAGATAGCATTTTGTTTACTTTTCAAAACTTAACTCTGTTTTTAAATCATGATTTGAATGAAACACGTTACATAAACATATTTTTATAATACAACTAAAAATTACTTTTAAAACTCCTTTCTTCTCTATTTATTTATTTATTATTATTAATCAATCAATCAACATTGTTTTCTCTCCTCTCTCATCTCTCCTCTCACATTCTATACATTAATCAATCAAAAAAATAAAATAAAATTACAAATCATCCTAAAACTATTTTCAAAACCCATAGCTAAACAAATTTTATCTTTTCAAATCATTATTCAAAAACTTAAAATTCAAAATACAACTTCGCACTTAAATCATAATTTTGAAATTAAACAAAATTGACCCAAGTTTTTTTATTTTCCGTGTTTTTTTATTTCACTATTTTTTTAATATTTTAAGTAAATTTTTTAGTTTTTCAATATATCTAATATAAATATATTTTAAAAGTATAATATTTGTATTTTTTTTAAAACTCAGTAAATACCCAAAAAAAATTAAAAATAATAAAAATACAATATATTTTCATATTTTTGTGTAATTATTAATTTTTTTAAATATTTGAAAACTAACTCTTTATTTATTTATTTATTTATTTATTCATTATTATTATTATTTTTTTTATCAGTTGAAAACTAGCTCTTGATATGGACAATTAGCTGCTACAATAACCATTGAATTTTAAGACATATGTTAGAATTAACATCTTTAATCTGATCATATAACTCCATCAATTAAATTAGTTGAAAACTAGCTCTTGATATGGCTTCTATCGCTTTGATCTTTAACTTTTTAATTGTGACATATTTGACCTTAAATTTTGAATCTTGTTTCAAATAAGAACAATTGAAGATACCATTGCTTAATTTCAAAGGTAAAATTATCAATTTGATAAAATATAAACTAATTTTACAAAAATAAATGTTAAAAAAATATTTTTAAATTTTTAAAAATTATTTCTACTCACTAAAGATAAAATTATATAAAATTGATAAATCTTTTAGCTTTTTTTTTATTTTACCAAATTAATTTTTTATTGTGTATTTGGATGATGATCATGTAATGGATGGTTATTTTTATTTTCATTAAATTAGTTTCTATTGTTTCAAAAGTCAAATATGACCACAACTTTGATATCATTATTGAACTAATCTATTAAATCAAAAAAATCCAAAACTAAAAACATTTCATATATTAAATATATCGATTATATATTAAAATCCCATCAACCACCTATTACATGATCATCATCCAAACATATAATAAAAATTAATTTGGTAAAAAAAAAAATCTAAAAGACTTATTAATTTTATATAATTTTATCTTTGGTGGGTAAAAATAATTTTTAAAAATTTTAAAATATTTTTTTGACATTTATTTTTGTCAAATTAATTTATATTTTATTAAATTGACCATTTTGTCCCTTGAAATTAAGCAATGGTATCTTCAATTGTCTTTATTTGAAACAAAATTTAAAATTTAGGATCAAATGTGTTACAATTGAAAAGTTAGAACCAAAGTGACATGAACCCCAAACTATAAAGACTGTTAGTGTAATTCGCCCAGGAAAAAAAGACTGGAAATAGAAAAAAGAAATGCTCAACTTCATTTTTGTTTTCATGATGTAAATTGTTTTTTGATCTAATAAAATACAAGATAATTGCTAATTAAAGTACCTTATATGTTTGAGAACCAATGAGGAAAAAGAAAAGAAATGATTACTTACGTTATAAGAGGGGGAAAAAAATGATTGTGATTTCTCTCCTTCTTATTTGTATAAGTAAGAAATAAAAGAAAAGAAATGATTGTGATTTCTCTCTTTCTTGTTTGGTTAAATTTCATAAGAGAAAAGAAGAAAAACTATTTTACATTATATTAACAAAATAACCTTTTTATATTTTGTCAATCATTTTATTTCTTTTATTTTTACAGGGACAAAATCGATATTTTGAAAAATAAGAATCTGTTGGTTTTTTTTTTTTCTTTTTCAAGATTAAAAATGAGAGTTATAAGAGAAATGAGTTTTTCTCTATTTCTCTTCATTTCTCTCTACTTAAGTTATCCAAACAAGTAAGAGAAATACATATCTCTCAATTTCTTTTCTTTTCTCTCCAAATCACTCAATCCAAACATAATGTGCCCTATAAATTTCGAAACTGCAAATCTTAAGCAGGTAAAGAATCATAAGATAAAAATTATATTACCTCTTGCTAGATTGTGTATATCCTCCTAGCTACCTGACAATGTCGGCTCCATCTTGTGACAGTGAGCTGAGTGTTGTAATCCATAGCCCACCGAACCCACAACCGCAACAACCACAGCCACAGCTCAACAATGTGTGGCTAAGTTCGATAATGAATGTAGAAATTGGGTCCGGTGAGTCCTCAAACAACACAATGCCAAAGCATAAGATACATAAGGTCCCTTAAATGCTTCTACAGGTGGGGACCGAGTCCACCAAGAAATGCTATGAGCCACAGCTAGTTTCTATTGGTCTCTACCAGCATGAGAACACAAACCTCAAATCGTTCAAAAAATTCAAATTTCAATTCACAAGGGAGTATGTCAACAGTTGTGGATCATATTCAATAAACGACTTGTATGACAAGGTTGCAGACGTGGCTATCGAAGCAAGAAACTGCTATGCGGAGGGCACAAATATTGATGGCACGAATGACACGGACTTCACGCGGATGATGGTTGCTTCATCCTCCAATATATTCACTACATGACACAAAAATAAGTAAGCCAAAATGAAGATGAAGAATCACGACAAAGCTTTCGCGGAACGTGACTTGTTCTTGCTCGAGAATCAGCTTCCTTTCAAAGTCCTCGAGGCACTGATGACCATGAACTCGAAATTTGCTGGAGAGGAAGGCTTGAAGTTGATTAGCAAGTCCATTCAAGACACGAGGCCAAGTCATCCTCTTCCTTCATTTTGGGAATCGATGGAAAATTGCATTACTAACATCACTTGCAGGTTACCCACTCAAAAAAACATTACCAACAAGCACAAAGAAGAATCAAAAAAATCAAATTCACAATTAGTCGAACCCGTTCATCTTCTAAAACTCATGCACAGGCAACTTATTGGTACTTCTGGCATTGAAAACGGAGGAGGAGGCAACAATTGGTATTCGTATCGTTGAGTACAGGAGCATAAGACCGAGTGGATCAAATTCAGGCCTAACAAAATGGGCACATGTGTTACTGATGTAAGGTATGAACCTCTCATCATTAGAGCAATCTTAAGTCTTCCTCCAATGAAAATTGATGACTCAACCCAGTCTTTACTACTAAACTTGGCAGCCTATGAGATGTGTCCTGATAGTCCCAATGACTTTAGAGTCACCTCATATATATGGTTTATGGATACACTGATTGATCATGCTGATGATGTGAAGGAGCTGAGAAAGAAGGGAATACTTCTAAACTACCTTGGTAACGATGAAGAGCTGGCTGGGCTTTTCAATGAGATAGCCAAGAACTTGGTGCCTAACTCTCAAGCCTATGCAGATGTTCAAGACCAAATTGAAAAGTACTAAAAGAACAAGATGAGACTGTGGATGACTGAATCGTTGCATACCCATTTTGATACCCCTTGGACTACTCTTGCTTTCCTTGGTGCTATTTTAGTTGTCACGTCCCACTTTTTATGCCAACGGCTACCATTACCAAATCTTTTATTGTAATACAATTTCAGATATCATGTGCGTGAATTTAATACAATAACGAGTACTACTATTAAGGGTTCTCTCATTCGAATATGAAATGAATGCAACATGAGATAAAAATAAGTAAACTGCCCATAGACTTACATTTTTTAAATTAAAAGAAAGGGTTTAGCCCTTTTACATTAATGACATTCTGCCTACAACTAAAAGGCCCCGTGGCCAACACACAAAGAAGATCCTTTATCTTGAACCTTTCTCGACGTTCACCTGAAAAAGGATTAGCAACGTGGGATGAACATAGAGTCTAGTAGGGATCCCAATATGATCCTAAACAATAACAACATACAGATAACTATGATCATGAATGCTTTAAATCATATCATATACATATTGTAACGGTTTATACAAAAATATATTTATAGAGGAACTTTTCTCAAAATCATTCATTTCTCTCAACAACATAAGCAATTTACTTTTCTTTCTTCTTGTTACCTTTTTCCCAAAATTCATTTCACAATAACAAGTTCCTGAAAAAAATTTCGCAAAGCCCATTACGTTTTACCTTCTTGAAACATGTTCACAAGTATTCTCCTTCACATTATTCACAATCTCGATACAGTACTTATGTCTGTTTCCAACACATTCATGTCATTGCATATATATATTCAGTACAAAGGGAAAACAACAAGCAACCAACAACTATCTAATTAACAAATGAGGCAACTCGGCCTTCCAGAACCATAACCATCATGACCCATAATTTACACAGATATACTGAGACAATAATGATAAATAAGTTCCACTCTACCTGCCTTAAGCATGGTAACCCAAGGATACACCTTTAGTCATTTTAGTCTTACTTCATTTCATGACAATTCATTTCAAGTTAATTTATTTTATCTCAATTCATGAGCCAATTCATTACATTTTAAACACCCAACTGAGGCTACAACTCAGGGGTTCTCAATCAACACAATTATTACACGAACACTTCAATTTTACCATTTTACGGAATTCTCATCCGAGGGAATCGACACCCATTTATACAGAAGCACTTCAATTTTGCCATTTTATGGAATTCCCATCCGAGGGAACCGGCACCCATATATATATAACATTTCGGGACTTTTACCCTGGACGCTTCGGCCAACTTAATTTTCAATGGAGTCCATCTCATATCTCCTCCAAACAATGGAATACATCCCCTATCTCCTTCTAAACAATGATACATATACAATGTATTTAAAGGCGTGTCAGATACAATGAATACCAAAATTCACACATTCAACACTTTAATCAAACCGTTATATTCAATGATAACCAATGAAGGATTAATTTCAATTCTCCAAGTCCACATGCAATTTCTACAACAGTCATAGCTATCCTCCACCGATAGCCCAAAACATATATTTCTAAATATATATACAGTCTCCAAAATAGATAAACTATCCATATTTTCATAGGTGAGAGATTACAAATATCCAACTCCACCATTTACATTCATATCTATCCATCTCTACATCTAATACGTAAGGAAAGACAAAATCCAATTCTCGCAAGACTTCCAGTCCAATAACAGTGATAATATATATAAAGGTTCCAAAATCTAACCTCAAGTTCATTATCAATTTACAAAGGGTGATGATTTTATTTTTTTTCAAAAGACCACTTTTCTTTATTTTACAATCCACACAACTCTAACCATTTTCTAAGAATTCATTCTCGTCATTTTACAAAAATAAAACCAAATCCATCCTCTTTATTTTACAAAACCAATTCCATTGATATCAAAACCATAACTCAACTCAACTTCAGGTGATTAGTCTAAAACAAAACCAACACCGTGGTTACTTCTCCTTTTATATTCTTTTGATATAAACACAATCATACAACCCATATTAGCAAAATATATAAGAATTATTCAACTTCCTCCCTTTTTAAATCCATTATATCAATAACATTAAATTAGGGCTTTCCTCCCTTTTAAATCCATTAAATCAATAATAGTAAACTATGGTTTTCCACCCTCTCTTTACAAACATAATAAATTATTTTTCCAAATAACCCAACAACAAACAACTTAACAACTCCAATCATAAATATCAAACCCTAGATCCCTTTTCATGGCTTTTAAGAAAATCCATAATGAATATGGTTTTCATGCAATAAAATCCACCACATATCTATCTATAGGCAAAATATTGGAAAGGAGCAAAGAAGTCCCTATCTCTTGAAGCGTAGAGAAAACAACCCAAAAATTCCTAGTGACGAAACCACGAGCTACTTGGATCAATAGGAAGCCCTTGACAAGATCAACAACCTTTTTCAAAGGACCAAGGTGAAAAGATGGCTCTAGGTGAGTAGATCTAAAGACCTAAGTACGAAAAGTCAAGTTTTAAAGAGAAAAGAGAGAAATCACGGGTTGAGAGGAAAAATGGAAAGAAAATAATGAGAGAAAAGTGGTTTGGGCCTATTTATAGTAATAGAGAATAGCCCTAAGGTCAAATAAAATAATAGGCCCCAAAACCCCCCAAAGGTAGGACCCATTCGAACGCTAAAATCTGGGGAAAAGAAAAACATGTTGGGGTCGACCCTTCGGGCAGGGAGGTCGACTTTTTAGGTAGAAAAGACAATCTGGCACAAGCAAGGGGGTCAACCCTATTTTCCAGCTACTAACACACACAGATTCTGCAATATAAGAGGGTCGACTCTCCGCAGACTGGTGTCTATCCTATATTACAGCAACACTTCCAGAAATTTCACCAACATGTAAGGGTTGACCCTTTAGAAGGCTGGTGTCGACCCTAGAATAGAATTTCTAAGTTTTCAAAGAACTTTTTGACAAGAACAAGTGCAAACAAACAAACCCAACGAGTTTAAATCGGATCATACTTCTCCAAAACCAAGATATAACAACACCAAAGATTCCCAAAAATAAAATAAAGGATTCAAATAAACTTCCCAAAAGTTCTAAAAGGATACAAGTGCTACAACCTCCCCACCTTAGGAAATTTCGTCCTCGAAATTAAGAACACAACGCAACTCGAGGTGAACCATCCACAAAGAGGTGACATTATTTACAAAACCATGTAAAAAAATTTTTTTCCACATTTTCTCCTTTTTTTTTTTTTTGGTAGGTTTACACAACCAAAATACGTTCTCGATTTCCAAGTAAATTCTTAAATTTTTTCAGCCATCTTCCAACAATAAAATAAAGTGTTACTCCGAACACTAAATCGTTCGCATTATCATACTTTGTTAAATTCAGCGCTTATTAAATCAAATAAACTACGCATCAAAATCCTTTATTAACATTTAGATTAAATCCAGAACATTATAGTTCAACATTGCCATCAGAGGCTACAACACAAGGAAAAATTCATCTTCCGAGTTCGTTTCTCAATATAAGACAATTGGTGAACCTCCACTGTCACCCAACAACTCCCATCACCCTTATAGTGATTCCACAACCAACATAAGCATAACATTTCTATAATAACAGTTAATAGAAATTACAACTGTGCTATCAACACAATAAGACACAAACACAAAACAAGAATCCACAATCTTGCAATTCTATTCCGTCATATTATCATCATAAATTATCAGTTACATGAGGCATACAACATATGCAAAATGAAGAGTTCACAATACGTTACCCCAACTAGGGGATTTTCCACAATTTCAAGACAATCTTTATACAAGCTTCACAACCACTTACACGAGACATACTGCTCGCCAACCCACTCTAATGCACCCACAACCTTACAACCTCACACGCCAACCCAAGCTATTCCCAAGGTGACCACGTGTTAACCAAACCCCGATATCAACCTGTAACAGCGCCCGCAGAGGGAGGCCTCGTGCTACAGTTCGGACTCTCGATTTGTGTCACGGTTCTTAATCTGAACCAAAGAGTCCAAATCTAGTGCCCAAGTCTTAAGGGCGGTCAAAAATGGGGTGTCTACACAACCAATTGACTAAACAGCCAGATCAACACTTTACACTCGGTACCAAACACCGAGATGCTACCCAACACCACTTGCTCCAAGATAGAGTTCCACACATAAGTTTTCATATTCCTTGAATCTCACCGGATTCCTCCAGATTTGGTCAAACCACCATCGTTTCTAAGGAAACCACCACTCATATGCCTACATGGGAAATACTCCTTCACCTCTCAAACATAAGACCGATATGGTCAATGGCAAACACCTAATTTTGGACATAAAATAATTTTCATCAATACCATACTCATTACCCAAGAACACAACCTTACTTCCTTCCAAAGAATATCTCTGCCATCTAACCACTAAATTCTCCTTACATTCATAAGCTCCATCAAATATCTAATAACATTGCAAACCCATACCAACTCATAACACCCACAACACAAACATTACCCTTAACAAGATCTATGGGATCACAACAAACTCATTGACCAACAAACCAAAACACTAAACCACACTCACAAGTACCATCCTCACTACCCCAAAATCCAAATCTCACATTCCTTTATACTCCACACATTCAAGCCTTATAATTCATTCTCTTCACATAACACCATTAACTACACCAATCCACGGGTTACCCGTTCTCAACAGTTAACTCCCAAACAATACAAGGCTCACAGGCCATTACATAACCATCTCATAAGACAATAACACGTATACAACACTGTTAAGATTATCAATCCATGAACCATTTCTCATTACACATAAAAGAGAGTTCGAGATTTACTGTGTGCCTTCAACACATGAGAGTAAACAAACAATAGTACATATGCATATACAACACATAGTCACAGTGTATCAACACCCAACAGTACATCGGTCAACAACAAAAGATTCACACATTGAATCACCGACCTT